TAGAATTCCCACTTTCGAGTTCAATTCTAGATTCGTAGATAGTATTCAATTGGTGATCAAGCAATTAAATAATTAAGCGCAAGATTGAATAAATAAACTAATATGATAAATCAAGAAGGCAAAATCAATATCCGAATAACAATAATCATGAAAGAACCACAACCCTAGAACGTGAAGTTTAGCTCCACATAGACATGGTAGCCAAACAACAAATCATACAAAGAAACATAAAAATTACTAAGTTTGGTGAGAGAAAGATAGAACTTGATGAATTCTGGCCTCCACGGCGGCTCTGTGCTTGTGTTTTCCTCTCAAAAACATCCTCCTTTTAAAATAGGTTTAGGTTGGCTTTTATATGAGTTGGGGGCGTCTTGGGGTCGAAATAACCGAGTCCCGATCGAAATAGGACATGTTCACATTTTTGAGTGTCCAGGGCAGCGTGGGGCGCTGGCCCTGGCGCTCAAATATTTTAGCTGCTATAAATTGCGCCACAGCGAGCGCCCCACGCTGGCTGTGGCCCTCAAATTTCACTTTTTGCCTTTTTGTCCCGATCTCGCTCCAATTCGCGCCCTTTCGTCCCAAATTGCATCCGAATGATCCCTATATATAGAAATACCAAAATTTAGCACAAATAATCATATTAAACATCTCAAATCGTCGAGACATGAGCAAAATGTGAGGCGGTATATATCAAAATATGCATACATTAAGCCGATTATCAATACCCCACACTTAGACTCTTGCTCATCCTCGAGCAATGGAACTATATTTGCACCCCCAAAACGTACTTCACACTATGAAAAAGGACATCACAATTAACTCAATCAAACACCCTAACTTTTGACTATGATCGATGTCGGTAATTAAGCATGAACACACAAATTTAACATTCTTCCTGTTTTTAAATAGCCCAAGTATACTCAATGTTATTCAACCAACTCAAGCAACCTCTCCACAACCACCTTACCTCAAGAGACGACTCGTTACCACTAAGCATCCTCAACTCACGCACTCACCCAACACAATAAAGTGTACAATATCACCAATCCGTCATGAGATCAAGTGCCCTCACCACAAGCAAAAGAGTGAATATCAAAGTAGTCCACAAATTTAAATATGTCATTGAACATAAATTAAGGACATCGCACAATTGAACAACATTCACTCACTCTCACAAAGAATTCATGTGCATCCCGTGGTCGTACCACAAGCTTGCCCGCAATGTACATCTCTACTAATCTATGCTAGCTAAATCTAGGTTGTAATGTAGGCTAAGGGACGGGTAGGATACATTTAGGAATAGTGATTAACCCACCTAAGCACTTTAATATACTACACTCGTAATTCAAGCGCAATTGCTTCGCAACCCATTCACTTGTCATACACCATAACTAACATAGCCCTCTTTTCCATCAAGCACCTCTATGGTTTCACTAGTACGGGTGAGAAGGATTAGGAGGTGTGTCTTTCTACATTATTTGAACTTTTGTTTGCTCTTTCTTGCAAAAATTTTCCTCTTTCTTTTTTTTTTTTACACACTCCATACATTGAAGTTCATAAGCTAGTGACCTTTATTCACAATTTTAGTGCACCTTAAGGGCCCTTCCATGGTTCCACTCGAAAGCCACTTCCCAATTTCTCACCTTACTTCTTCTAGCGACTAAGTGCCTTAGGAGGTAAAGGTTCAACAATCTCACATTAAGAACAAAGTAGGAGTACGGCTTGTAATGTGGGTGCCAATGAAATGGTCTATAGGCTCAAAGGGAATAGCAATGAAAAAATTCTATTTGTCAGTGACAAAACACCTTTATGGTCAAGCAAGAAACGCCTACGTCATCTCCTAGACTAGCACAACTTAATGATTTCGCTTTGATTAACATACAGGGTAAGTTCTACACTACACAAGATAGCACAGAATATCCACAATCCTTACACACACATGACACTTGACTCACTCAAGACGGTTCTGTGTGACTCTCATGTCAAGCAAGCATATCAAGTTGAGAATTTTGTAAGCAACACTGCACTAGGTGGCATACAAGTTAGTCAACTGAGAAAAAGACATCAAAGAGTAGGCTACTTAATTTACTTGGACATTACAATTCAAATCATATATGCAGGAAGACAGAGCGCATGCCCTAACTTAACTTGCCAACACCAAACATGTCAACAGGTACCTCAGAGCAATCTTGGTTTTCTCCCTTTTCCTACTCCTAAAAAAAACTAAACTAAATATTCCGGTTCGAGCTACACCCTTGGAAAAGAACCGATGTCGAAAGAAAAACCAAGGGATACTACCTAACTACCAAAAAAACAATATTAAATCTTTTTGGTATTATTAATCGGACTTTAATCCCTCAAAAAAATTGTCCAACAGATCCATCGTCGGAAAAAGTCCAAAAAAACATTTCAATTTTTTCTCAATTTTTTTCTATTTTTCTTTATCTTTTTTTAATTACTACTACTACTATACTACACTATTAATTCTACTAACTATGCTATTAAAAATAAGAAGCTAGCTAACAATAAAAAGATAAAAAACTAACAATATACTAATATAATACTATAGAAAGAATAGAAAATCTTCCACCACACACGTAAAAGAGTGCAGTGACCTCAATGCACAAATAAAGTAAAAATAACAAGGGTGGACAAGAAATTCCCTAAAAGACCAAAGGCTGAAGCAATAGCAGCTCACGGGATACTCAGACTTCTCCCATGGATAGTCATTTGTGTGGGTACCTCACACTACTTCCAACCATCTAGCTCGCATTTGCACGCTTCCAGTGACTTTTATTCCTATGCTCATAATCCTAAAAAACAAAACAATACTACAAAAATAATAAAATAAACAAAAATAAATAAAGCAATAAAACTGGGTTGCCTCCCAACAAGTGCCTAATTTAATGTAGCGGCACGATGTAAACCGTTTTTTGCCTCCACCTCGAACTTATAAATTGAGCCCCTAACATGGCATCTAGTCTGCGGCTATGCTCCAGTGGTGGGGCTACAACGATAACCAGGCCAAGTAATAAATATTTCACTCTACACTTCTCAGCCTTTAGATGAGGAATGTAATTTTTGCTTTTTGGCACAACAAATTCAAGAATATAGGCACTCTCATCCTCACCCTTTGACCCCCTCATTGGCTCAGATGGCTCAATTACTATCTTACTATATAAACACAATGTGGAAAAATGATTGGAATGAGGTCTAATGCGCCTTAACTCATGAATTGTACTACTATTTACATCCCCATATATACACACACTCAAGTCTCTCAAAGTAATGTTATCTATTCCCTCATATGACTCTAAAGCATTCTTCTCAACATTGGCATCTTCAAGAAAAACATGGTCTAATGATTGGTGTTCTCATTTTAGCTCCTCAATTTGGCCTAGAAGATTTTTTTCAGCTTCACACAACTCATCATTAAATTGTTGGCCATTACACGCATTAACCTTTTCATTCAAATTTGCATCCAAGTTATGCACGGCCAAGCCAAAATTATCAATTTTATGTGCAAGATCATCTCTCTCCTTAGACCAATCATTCACCAACGTTGTCAGAAGACAACGTCGTTCCGCATATTCCCTTAATCGAGAATATTCGTCCCAATACCAACCCTTACTCCCATATTCAAATTCAGCTTTCCAAGAGTTCAGGTCATGACAAGCCCAAAATGACGGGCCATATAAGTCTTCCGTCAACCAAGAGTCTTCATCAATAACCTTACCTCATCCCCAGATGTCATGGTGAAAGAACTAGAAACGCACTAAGCGAAAAATCAAATAGTTATAAACTAGATCCTATATGCAATATAGAATTCCCACTTTTGAGTTCAATTCTAGATTCGTAGATAGTATTCAATTGGTGATCAAGCAATTAAATAATTAAGCGCAAGATTGAATAAATAAACTAATATGATAAATCAAGAAGGCAAAATCAATATCCGAATAACAATAGTCATGAAAGAACCACAACCCTACAACGTGAAGTTTAGCTCCACATAGACATGGTAGCCAAACAACAAATCATACAAAGAAACATAAAAATTACTAAGTTTGGTGAGAGAAAGATGGAACTTGATGAATTCTGGCCTCCACGACGGCTCTGTGCTTGTGTTTTCCTCTCAAAAACATCCTCCTCCTTTTAAAATAGGTTTAGGTTGGCTTTTATATGAGTTGGGGCATCTTGGGGTCAAAATAACCGAGTCCCGATCGAAATAGGACATGTTCACGTTTTTGAGCATCCAGGGCAGCGTGGGGCGCTGGCGCTCTAATATTTTAGCTGCTGTTAATTGCGCCACAGCTAGCGCCCCACACATCCGAATGATCCCTACACATAGAAATACCAAAATTTAGCACAAATAATGATATTAAACATCTCAAATCGTCGAGACATGAGCAAAATGTGAGGCGGTATATATCAAAATATGCATACATTAAGCCGATTATCAATAATCAACACTTGTACCTACCTGGAGCTGAGCCTGAGCGGCTACCAATCTAGTCAACAAATCGTACTGCACTCCACATATCTATATTCTCATCATGAGCAACGGGTGGAGGAACTAGAGGTAAGGAGTTCCTCCTCAGCTTTTGGGTCCTGGCGGAGTCGTAGAACTATGTGAGGCTATCACACTTCTCCTCGGGGCCTCACTCTAGCCCTCACTAGCCACAAGTGCTCTACTGATGCCCTCATCGGCCACTGCTTTACCCTTTTGACTAGCTATAGCTTTCCTTGTCATAGACATCACTGTATATATAACAAGTCAAGGGTCAAAGATTTTATTCTTTACGACTTTGCTCTACCTGCACGATCTAATATCAAGAAGGAAGGGTAATGAGTCCCTAAATGCCCTGTAGTTTCTAGTTTATATAACATGGTGCACAACACACTTATAAATACGACTCTACTAGACACAGCTTGCAGACAACCCTAGGACAGACCTGCTCTGATACCATATTTGTCACGACCCAAACTGGAGGGCGACGACTAGCACCCGGTGCCTACTCAACCGAGCGCCACGTACCTCATCCTTTATTACTATAAGACTCGTCACGGGCCATGACATGCCACATCTATATATATAAGTAACAATATTAGAACTTAACTCGCATAAATAATTCAAAAAGATTCATATAGATATATATGGCCGACAAGGCCATTGACATGTCATACCCAAAACTATACACAGGACACCGTATGCAAAACCTCTAAGAAAACCATGACCATAATATATAAGTTGGTACAGGGCTCCCGACATCCTCATGAAATAAAATAACATATACATAACTCTGACTCAGCAATACTCAAGAAAGAAGTGGAGCTCACCAAACTGAAGCTGATATCTGGAGGCAGCCTACGATGGAGGGTCCTCGCCTCGTCTATCTATACCTGCGTGGCATGAAACACAGCGCCCCGGGCAAAAAGGGACGTCAGATACTATTACTAGGAGAGATAAGAGTCAACTTGTAACCTCTAACTTGCCGCTGAGGGCCATAACATATATAATAAGTCCAATCTCGTATATATAAATATAACTACAATTTCATAGTTCTAATTACATCATTCTCGTGACGTTAACTGCCCAACTGATTAGTGGTAACTGCCCGACCGACCTAGCTCAGTGGTAAATGCATTCTTCCCAACCGGTGGTAACTGACGATACATAACTGCCCAACCGGTGATAACTGCCTAATCAGACATAGATCAGTGGTGAATACGTGTCTGGCCAACCGGTGGTAACTGACGATACATAACTAGCAAACCGGTGAAAACATGCCACGAATGGAAGTAACAAATATTTATTCTAATCATTATTTACAATTACCCTCTTTGAGTACCTGTCTCAGAAAGGGAAACTAATAATCACAATTTCCTTAGGGCGTCCTCGTATGCTATTACGTCTAATAGAGATCTAATAGTTTGGAATAGATTCAACTTAAGGAACACAATTGTCAACAAGCTAACTCACCTACTCTTTACTATGCATATACACTTACGCAATAGATCAAATGAAGAACTATGAAACTTAAGAACAAATATGTACTCATTGAGCTCTCAATTCAACTAGTTACAACACAATCAACAATAGAGCAACCATCAACTATAAAAGTGAAATATCTATAATAATTATGCTTTCTATTGAGTCATTCCAATTGAAAGAAGGGACAGCCATTACATACCTTTAGTACCGACTTTATAGAAGGTGATGAACTTGGCATTCTTCACAAGTAATCTCAATAAGTGAAAAAAATACATATCCTGTAATTAGTTGCACCAGTAGATAACCTCACTTCTTAAACAATAAGGATGCCTTCGTTGTTGCCATTTTTGGTTCATTGCAACATATACTTTCTAAAAAAAAATTGCTAGTTAAAGAAGATTTTCACTTTGAAGTTGTTTCCCCTTCTTAGTATCTGTACGTTTTTTTGTGTCTTAGTAGTAGTGTAAAGTACATGTAAGTCCTACTTTTCACCTAATTTAATAATCCTTTGGAGTGGATAAGTCATAGAAAGTGATACTAATATACATACACGTATATGGCACCTTTACCAAGTATATTTCCCTTATCCATACCATTGATAAGAATGTCCATTTATTAGGTGGGACCTACTTAGAAAAACAAATTTGATTCTTCATCCCCCATAATCCGTTTTCATCCACGGTAAGTGTAAATAAATAACAAATTCATGTATAGTAATAAAATTGGAAATTAAAAATCCTTATCTCATACTTTTAAAATTATTTAATATTTTTCCTAGTCATTATCAATATTCAAAACTGATTTTCTATATCACACGTCATATAATATTTTTTCATACGGTCCGTATAACTTGTTCCTCGTTCCGAATTTAAACAAAAATTATTTTCCTTGACTCGTTTAACCTCTAATTCTCATATCAATTACTAAACATGGTAGTAGACCCTTGTAGGACCCTTGTAACCTTCAAGATTAACATAATTAGGTCGCCTATAACCTCAAATATAATCTCATTTTCGAGCTTACTTCGATTAACTTACGATGAAACTTAATGTTCAAAATGCGGGATGTAACACAGGTAGTAGGGGCGTCAGTACAAATAATGTATCGAGTTTGTAAGGCATGAAAATAGTACATAAAAGACATGGAAGAAATGTGGAGTGAAGGACTCAACCTTTAAGTCTCAATAACTCTGTGAATCATTAAACATTTATAATGTCATGCACATGCGTAAAAATCTCATATCAGGAATAGGTATATGCGTACATAATATCACCAAGCCTCTGAGGGCATCCCATCATATCATCTCGGCCTCAATGGGCAAAATTATCAACGAATACCAACTGATTAGGTGGTGATGCACATATAACGCCGTAACCTTTCCCCATATCACATGTACAAATTTACGCGTATATAATAACATATGATCATGGGTCAATGTACATGCATAAATAAATGCAATGCATAGTGAAGTAAGTCTCTAAGATCTCTCGTGATGTCATAAGATCAATATGCCTTCGGTTAATATCACAAAATAATCTTTATCAACTTACGTATTTTTTGAGACTTATGAACAAATGATATAATAATAGGACATATGGGGAATCAAGAATATATGAAACCCTAGTACTTCTAAGAATAGAGTCATTTGTGAAAGTTGCGCGTTTGCTCCTTTTATTTGTCTCATATGTATCATGCCAAAAGAGAATAAGGGATAGCCTTAACATACCTCAAGTCATCAATGCAACTCCACAACAAGCTTATGACAACTCGCACGCCAATCCTATAACAAAGATACATGTACAACTAAGATGGAACTAGTATATCATGTTTCTCAAACGATAACTCAATTTTAAAATAAAACGGGCAATATTTCCTTTGCTTTATCTTAACTACCCTACAATCAGCAACCAAAACAACAACGAGGACTTCAATTAATTCCTTTCTGAACTCAATCAGTCAATATACATGAGTGTACACCAAAACAGACTGATCTACGCTTGTCTACAATATTCTTACACTCTTCCTTAATTAATATTCATGTAACACAACTACAACCACATAACCACAACATCAAGTAGCTAGATATATACAACGAAAGTCCTTCAATAACATATCAGTACACTCCCACAAACCAGAATTTCTTTTTAATCGTAACTTTCAACCTATACTTCACAAGTTCTTCATCAATAACCAAACTATGATCCAAATGACCTCAAATATATAGAGAAGAGTATGATATCACCTTGAACAACAAGGATAACAACACATATACATATTTATAACTATATTTCTAGCCTTTCAACACAACCAAATTCTCCTCAAATACATTACAAGAACCTTTATTTATACATCAAGAATAATTTAAAGTGAATTTCTCCAAGTTGAAGATGAATTTATCTAGAAATATTTCTAAATCATTACCTTAATTACTTGGAGAAAAAGAATAGGATAAACTGGAGAGAAGCCTTCCCAACACCTTTACAACCAAAAACCCCACCAAACCAAGACTAAAATTGCAAGATAGTTGCCTTAAAGAGGGTTGTCCGTATGGTGCAATTGTAAAGAGCATCTAATTGATTTAGATGGTGCTTATATGAATTTTATAACGTGAAGCAGCTCCTAGATGACCTACTTCACTTTGAATATTTGATATATATCAATTTGTAATGACTAAGGGGCCTTGGACGGTGGAAGGGGCAACATTTGTCTTTACTTGGCAATAGATCTTTTACAAAAAATACATATATACACATAAGCACCTCCACACTTCTCTACTAATTATAGGACCTATATTATGCTAATTATGTGTATTATGCATATTTACATGCTAGCATAGTTTATTTTAATATCATGAGCAATCCTCATTAACTTTATAAATTACTAGAAATCTAATCTCTTCCAATATGTACTTAGCACTTGTTAAATATGATATAAATACTTATAACCTCAAGGATAATCATGATCTTTAAGCTTATGTCGAGTACTTATGACATGAATCGACGTGCAAAGGTACGAGATGTATCAGATTCATAGCATTTTGTTTGGTTGTTACATCTATTACATGTGCTGCATAGTTTCGGTACTTAGGATTCCTTTCCTTATTGGTCATATTCGAGTCGTGGCTTATTTGGCACACAGATCGCATCGTATGAGGTTTTAGATGGTGTCTCATGTGTCTGGTCAGTCTAGCAGCTTGTACTGTATGAGACGAAGTTGTTGGATCGAAAATCAATACAACAGATTTGTATAATGTATGTTTGGAGGGAGAATGTCGCCAATCAGTTCCAAATGCGGCAATGGTTCTTGTGGAATAGAATAACCCCATGAATTATTGATTGACGGATGTTTATAAGTTTTTACACATCTTTTTCATCGTTGCAGTATTGCAGGGGTTAGAATAGGGCTTTTATGTGTTAGCTATTGTGTTTGGAAGATATTATTATGGATATATGAATTATGCGGTGCATCATGTGGTTATGACTTGGGTGTAAATGTATGTTTTGGTACAACTTGTGGAGATTGATGCAGTGTATGTATGCTGGAATCGGATCCTTACAGAAAATTACGGATGCTGGAATTTGGTTTTAAGGCTCGTGCACTAAGGTCGCAGGAAGAATCTTAAGTCGGGGTTGTGCTAATGTGCTTGTATGGATTGATATGGTACGGGTATGTGCATGATTACTTATTCAGCGATTTTTGCAACTTGGGAGAGACTCATGGTACGTTCGAGGATGAACGTATGTTTAAGTGGGGGAGAATGCAACGACCCAACCAGTTGTTTTGAGCTCTAGCATGTTGTTCGTCAGTTTAAGACCTTTGACTAGCTTCACTTTATGAATTATAGCTTGCACGCGTAGTTGGTTTTTGATTTTTGAGAAGTTCGGAGTTGATTTGGAAGATTAATTCTCAATTCAGAAGCTTTAAGTTGGAAGAGTTGACCAAGGTTTTGACTTTTTAGTAAACTACTTAGGAATCGGGATTTGAAGGTTCGGATAGGCTCATAAGGTGATTTCGGACATGGGCGTATGTCTGGGTTGAGTATCGAATTGTCTAGGAGTGATTTGATGCTTATTGCTGGAAGTTTACATTTTGAAGGTTTTGAATTAGCTAAGCTTGACTTAGAGTGAATTTTGGTGTTATCGGACCCCGAGCGGTGTTCTGAGATCTTGGATAGGTTTATTTCGGTGATTAGAACTTGTGTTTGAAGTTTGGTCATGATCCGTAAAGCCTAAGTGTGATTCGGACGCGTTACGCGAAGTTTGAAGATCTGAAATTTAAAAGAATTATTTAGATCATTGATTCATAGTTTTGATGTTATCCATGGCATTTCGGGGTGGTTTTGGACCATTTGTCTATGTTTTGCAGTTGCTGGTTTGTGGTGTGTTTGCTATGCATTGCGATCGCGGATGCAGGGCCTTGATCACGAAAGGTGATCTTGAGCTGGGGGCTACTATTCTTTGCGTTCGCGGGTGATGCTCTGCATTCGCATAGTAGCCTGGGATGGGGCTCCGCGTTCACGTGTGAAGACCCGTTTTTGCGTAGGAGTTGAAGCGGGCTTGGTGTGTTAGTCTTCGCGAACATGAAGATGTTCTGTCTTTGCGGTTGAGGGGATCTTTTGTGTTTTGTGATCACGGAAGGCCAGACGCGATCGCGTAGGCTATTTTTGTCAGCAGGGGTGTTTTTGCCTAGTGATCGCGAGGCTTTTGATCGTGATCGCGATGGGTAATGTCTGGGCAGTGTATAAGTTAGCAAATCTAGATTTGGCTCATTTTTATCCCATTTCTCTCATTGTAGCCGATTTTGGGGCGCTTTTGAAGGGGCATTTCTATCATCTATCACAAGGTAAGTGATTCCTAGTAATGTGAGTTAAATACATGGATTATATATAGATTTTATCATGAAAGTTTTTAGAAATTGTGAGATTTTTAGAAAAAAAACTAAAAATGATATTTTTGAGTTTTGACCTATACATCTGATTTCGTGGTGTTACGGGTAGTATTTATCTTCAAGAATTTTCGGAAACCTACTAAACGTAGATAACCTTTTAAGAAGGAATTTACCCTGTATGTGCTATATTTATTATGTGTTATGTGTTTTGTGAGCTACACGCATATGAGGTGACGAGTGTCCACGCGTATGCTTGATTTTTAATTGTATTACTTGAGTTATTCTTGCCTGTTTAAATACCATAATTTAAATTTTAGCTTGTGACTAGACTTGCGTAGAATATCAGACTTGTTATTTTAGATACTTGATGAGATACTTTATTAGTCATGGAAACTATACTCCCTTTTACAGATTTATGTGCATATTCGTCGGGAAATTTTTTGAATTTCATAACTCACACGTATATTTGTGAGTGGAGCCGATGACCCTTCAAAGTTTCACACTCTTATTGTATTGGATTGTTCGCCTCGGCAGTGTTATGTAACATAGTCTTATGGGATCGGGCTGTTCGCCTCGGCATAGTACACTATTCTTATGGGATCGGGTCGTACGTCACGACCGAATATCATACCATCACTCTTATGGGATCGGTCCATTCGCCTCAGCTGTATCATGCGTAATATTTGATAAGGAGTCAGTGTATCTATGAACCTATTTGACTTGAGAAATGATATTATATTTGTTATTGACCTCACATATATTCCATTCGAGGTCGTATTAGGTATCCAAGGATTTTTATTGTATTTAGTCTTCTGTTGAAGATTGTGTTATGTACATATATTTGTTTTCATTGTTTGTACTTGCCATGTTTCATACCTGTCTACCTTTATTGTACTTTTATTATCAGACCACTAGTAAGTCTCGATGTCGACCCCTCGTCACTACTTCTTCGAGGTTAGGCTCGATACTTATTGGGTACTCATTGATTTACGTACTCGTACTAGACTTCTACACTAATTATGTTGGTACTAAGACAGGTATATTTGGTGGTCATCTGGGCGCGTAGGCGTTGTTGCTGAGGAGAGTTTGTGGTGAGTTGTTCTCTATGTTACGATCTGCAGCACATGAAGTCCCTGTCCTATTAAATTATTGTGTTATGTCAATTTTGTTTTCTAGATAGTTGTTGTAGTAGTATTGTATAATCTAATAGATTCGCATGCACTTGTGAGACCAGGCTGTGGGAATTTAGTCTATTAATCTTGGATGTATTTCTGTTACAGCATTCAGTGTTGCATTTTGATCATATTCTAATTTTGACAATAATTAGTATTTACTGTTAAAACAGAGCAAATCTGGCCTATGGTGGGAATTGAGTCGCGACACCTTGGGCCCTGTGAGCACAATGTGTGAAGGGGTGTGTGTGTATGTCTATGTTTGTTGGTGTTGATTTAGTCAAATGGATCGAGTCTTGAGCATGCATTGAAATCCTAGACTCAAATAAAAATATTTATACATATCATATATTTATGCATTTTTCATATGCATGTGACTTGTTAGCGGATTGTTGGACATTTTGAGAGTGTCGGGTTTGATGCACTTGTTAAGACTTTATAATACATCGACACTTAGTCTCATGTTAGAGTATTCATATAAATGCCATTGAAATTATTGAAAAAAATATATCTTTATCTTACATAGTCCCTTTGTGATCATATAAATAAACTTGAGTTACGTTTCTCAGCGTATATGTTATTGATATACGGACTTGGTGCCTTATACATGCTTTCGATCTGGTTATTTAAAAAGCATGCTTATTACCTTCTTCATGAATTGTGCATCTAATGCTTGATATCTAATGTTATTTGGTTGCTTCTTGGATACTTATTTGTTATCGTACATGCTTATGAGTTGTACAAGTTATATAAAGTAAGTATCTTTTGACTAAACCTCGTCATTACTTCATTGAGCTTAGTCTTGATACTTACTGAGTACATAAGATCAGTTATTGTAACAATCCGACCAGTCATTTTGTGTATTTGTGCGCCGTTTCTCCTTTTAATGCTTCACACATGTGCATTTGTGGTTTTATGACTTGTCTGGATGGTTATTTTTGCTCTGGGAAGCTTTTGGATTGATTTGGACCCTTTGGTTCTTGGTTTAGAAGCTTAAGTTGGAAATATTGATTGAAGTTTGACTTTTGTGAAAACGGCCTCGAAACGGTGTCTTGATGGACCTGATAGGTTCGTATTATGATTTTGGACTTGGGCGTATGCCCGAAATTGAATTCGGAGGTCCCTAGGTTGATTTGACTTGTTTTGCCAAAAGTTGGTGATTTGAGGTTTAAAAGTTTCTCTAAGTTTGACCGTAGGTTGACTTTATGGCTATCGGGTTCGATGTTTGGTTTTGGCACATAGAATAGGTCTGTTTTGCTATTCGGAACTTGTCTGCAACATATGGTGTAATTTGGAGTTTCTTTGATAGGATTTGGACGCTTGGATGAAATTCTAGTGATTCTTGAGTTTTCTTTTGAATTTCATGTGTTTTGATTTCCGATTTGTGGTTGTAGATGTTATTATGGTATTTATATTGTGTGAGCAAGTTCGTATGATATTTTTAGACTTATGTGAATGTTTGGTTTGTAGCCCCATGGGCTCGAGTGAGTTTCGGACGTGTTTTAGCTTGGATGTAACTCATTTTGGGTTGTTGGTGTGTTGGTGCTCAGTT